ATACAGAAATCCCACTTTTAATATCATTTAATTTTTGTATTTATTTGAATTCATATTAGTTTGCAGTCTAGCTTGTAATATTTAGTTCATGGAGGGGTTTTTGCAATAGTAAGCTGTAGAGTCCATATTCTTCTAATACAATGTAATTAACTATCAGTCATATTTTTGGGGTAAATCATTGTCAAAGTTTTGTATCATAGCATAATGATGTGCAAGTGGTCTTATATAAATCACATTTTCAACATCATTTTCTGAGAATTATTTTCTGTTGGCAATTTCAGTTTCCTTTTCTGCTTTTATAGCAATATTAGCTTGCTTTAAAGGATTTGAATCAATAGTATAATTAGATAAGAGATTAAATGTATTATCCTTTTCAAGTGTGAATATTGATTGTGTTTTGTACATTTAAATAAAATGTTTGGATGACAATTTTATATTAGTCAACAGTTTTTGGTATAAATAAGGGTAAATTGTAAAGATTGGTAAGAATGATAGAATTGATAATGTAGAGTGTTATGTTGGGAATAATATAAAAGAACTTGTTGGTTATTAATTGATGTATAATAATTGAGGATGATTGGTAATCTAAAAGTAAAGAAATATTAAAGGAAAAAGTATTTACTTAAATTTATTGTATCATTAATCTACATTTAAATTTTGATATATTGGAATTGTATAGAATTCATTGATGCAAAATTATGAAAGAGGACTGAATATTTTGGATGATAAAATCATTTTTATGTCCGGTTGTGGTGTTGGCAGTGTTTGTAGTGTTGGCAGTGTTTGTAGTGTTGGCAGTGGTTGTAGTGTTAGCAGTGGTTGTATTGTTGGCAGTGGTTGTAGTGTTGGAAGTGGTTGTAGTGTTGGCAGTGGTTGTAGTGTTGGCAGTAGTTGTAGTTATTAATGAGGCGTAGCTAAGATTTTATTTAATACTTACATCTCTAAATATGGTTATTATTTTATAATTTCTCATTATTTGATTTGAGTTGAGATATATTTTGTTTATATAAACAAGCTATAATTTATTTTATAGAGTTGCGTCAATTATAAGAAACCGGATCAATTACTCTTAATTTAATCGCATCTTCTATAATATTTTCTAGATAATTTAAATTTAAAATGAAAGCAGCTGATATCAAAGATTTCCACGTGATCTCGAGAGTGAAGGGATATATAAGGGAAGTTTAAAATTGAAATATCTTATTATCATTAATCATCCACCCTTATAATGACGGTTTTATTTTTAAAAAAATCTATTAAAAATATTTAAAATTAAGATTTGATCCACACGATAGACGGCATCAAGAATATGTGCGACTCATCTCACATCAATTGGGAAGCCTTTTTTGATAAAGTTTCGTTTTGGATGACAATTTATTTTATATATTTTTGATAGTTCGTATTTTTTCTTCTTATTTAAAATGAATGCTCAAAGGCGGTCACATTGATTTTTAGATCCTGTCTATTTTAAAAAAAATAAATTGTCCATATTTTGTTTAAATTTATTTTATTTTTTTTTATATACAGATTTTACCCTGATTTTATAATTAAAATTCTCTCTTTTTTTTTACTAAAAAATATAGTACAAAAATAACTTGATCCTTATCCAAGATATGCTTTACGAATACAAAGGATTCTTATCGGAGTTTCCAAACATATTGAATAATCATAGAGTATGCATAAATAAATCTTCATAAACTCTCAACTCCAATATTTTTATATTCAATTATATTTCTCAATTACGAAGGATTATTTACTAAATGCATTTTACTTAACTATAAAATAGGCATCAAAATTATAGATCCATAAAAATTCTAGCCACTATCTTTATAACATTTTCTTTATATTTAATTAATTATAATTAATTATTGTTACGCTCATATCTATCTATTAACTTTATAATTATTTTTCAAAAATTAAAAATTTGCAAAAATTTAAAAGATTTTTTGAACTTCAATATGAATTTTAATGTAAGCGATGCATGATAATTTTTTTTTTAAAAAATAACTAATACAGAGCGCCCTGAACAAGGTAAAAGAATATCAAAAAATTTACGATCAACCCACTAATCCTACTCAAAGCATAAACCAACTTCAAAATGTGTCGCAAAATAACCCACATCTAAGTAAATATGAATATCATATATAGATTAAACCTAGCCAGGCTTTAAAAAAATTTTATCTTTATGAATTTCGGCACATTTTGCCTAATCACCCAGTATTTTCTTGCTCATTGGGAGCTAGCGCTTCATATATTTTTAAATTATAGGTGCAGTGATGCATAAGTTTTACCCCTCTTGCTGAATAAGTTTCGTCCTATTCTTAAATAATCTTTTCCCCTTTTAGTCAGGTCCCAATATGGTTGGCTTAAACTTTGAACTTATTTTATTTAAAAATATATAGCACTTTTTTAGTTATAATATTTTATGCTAAGATTGAGAATAATATTTTAAGAATTAATATATTTTTTTCTTCATAAATTTCTAATATGACCACTCGGTTAATTTCAAATATATCGGGATAGAATCATGGTAAGGCAATTATTTTTTTTAAATTTATTAAACTGATTATTTTAGTAATCTAAATCCATTTGTTTAAATTTTACAGGAAAACATTCTTTAAAATTTACAATATGGCAAGAATTATTATATATTTTTTATTACTTATTTCCACTATTATAGTTGAAATATTTTGGGGTTTACGTAATTAAAGTGTCCTCATTAACATCTTATGATACTGCATAAGGTACAGTCTAGATAATCAAGGTTAGGTGCAAATCACTATTATAAGCAACTATACTTTAGATAGCAGATTAAGTAAAGTGTGGGAGAAAATTTTCCAAAATATTCTAAATTTATATTTAGTAGCGTTTATAACGGCATAGCATTACTATTATTTCTCCTAACTTTTATTCTCTCTAATGGGTTTTTGGGATAAAACATTTGCATTCGTTATTGTCCATCGTACCAATCGTTGATTGGTTTGCTATTAGGATTCTTTTATTTATATATATTTTTATTTACAATGTATTATCCTTTCATATTCGCTTTTTTGTCAGTTACACTTTTGATAATTTACTTGTTTTCTATGCCGTTATTTTCCATGCCGTTAAATAAATTGCTGCTTTGGTTATACCGAATTATATCGTACGTAAAGGTCATATCAATTAGAATAATTAATAATTCTTGTGAATCATCGATATTCATTTGTACGCGTTTTTTTTACATATCTAATGTGACTTCCATTTTCGATTTTGCATTTATCTATGTGCTTAAATCTATCATGTGTCAAATCTACTCACGATTCTAAGGCCACCTAAATTTTATGGATGTATATGATTTGTCTTAATTTTAGATTTTTCAAAAAATGTAAGATAAACCTATAAAAACGCCAAAAATTTATCGATTTGAGATGAAATTTACCATGTAATAATAATAATATTAATTAAAATTTACTTAAATTTTAACTTCCAATCAATAAAATATATTTCTAGTCATTTTACATAAATTATTAAGTTAAATAAAGCATCAGGGTGGTTGAAGGAGATAAAAACGATTTAAATTATCCATTTATTTTATGACTACTCTTTTTTTAAAGAAGGCTTTTTATATATATATTTAATTCTCCTTATTTTTATTTTAAATGTGTTAAATATGTTTAAAAAAATGAAAGATAGCGGCTCAGCACTTAACGTCGGCGGAGACTCTGATAAATTAGGGTTAATTTACAAGAGGATGAGTGTCATCTCCTATTTCACCCTGTCCGAAATGAACTATTTTAGAATCGAGTGCGCCAAGGATTTCAAGGTTATCATTGGATTGATCCTCAAGACACTGTTGGAATATTTCAATCAGGTTACTACATGATTAGCATTTCCTTTTATACTTTATGATTACTATTTCTACTTTTTTTTTACCGATAACCCATACGTTACAGATTAAGATCAGCTAATTAATAATTATTAAAATTATAAAGAAAATAAAAATAATTTATATTAGGTGCCGGCTTGATGGATTTAAAAATTTAATTATTTTTTCTTCCCCTTTTTTAACAATTATTGATTTTGTTCATCAAATCGAATAAAATTTTTAAATAATATTAAGAAATCTAAGTATGATAAGTGAAATAAAAACATTTATCATTTCCTCCTTATTATATAATCGTAATAGATTTTTAGGAACGATTCATTACAGGTCCCTGATTTTACTGTATGATACCATTCAAGCTTAGAATAATATTTCAGGATTTATTAGCTGCCGAATTTTTTAATTACATTAATTCCTAAACAATTACAATTGCCTCTAAAAACAAACTGTTCAGTTTAAAACTATATTTTTATTAATATAACCATTCAGATATCGCTACACATATCCACTGCGATCAAAATATTCGAAACTCTTTAATAATAATTAAAAAAGACGCGAATGAAAAAAAAGGCACCAACTGAATTCTTCTATGGAACCAAGAAGAATTAAAAATGCAATATTTGTTATACATGTTAGTTATAATAATATTTTATATATAATTATAGTTAGTAATAATTTATTATAAATATTTCACTGGAATTTGTCCTAAATTTTGTGGTATAATTTTTTAACTAATGTGAAGATTGTGAACGATACCTGGAACCAAATCATTTTTAATAGAGCTGTATGGCCAGGTTCAGTGTTGTTTAAGGGCTCAATTTGAGCCGATTTTTAAAAACGACTATAACTCAATGTTTATACATTGTGCAAGCCACGAAGATTGGCCTCTAAGATGGTGCAAATGTTTGGGAATTATTAGAGAAATTTCGAGGCTTAGGAAATATTTTATGTTTAAATGATTAGTTCTCAGCTTAAATCGATCCAACAGGCCTATTATGTCAATATGACATCTACGATTAGCAAAAGTCTTATTTGATTTATAGATCTAAAGGCAATCCTTTTTTACGTCTTGTTCTTTTCAGGTTGAGAGTGAATAAATATTCGTTTGGAAAATAACTTGTTGGCATCTATGAATGGCCGCACCAGTCCTGGAAATTATTTTAAAACCTTGAAAATTTTTTCTTATTTTTCCTTCGCGCTAAATTGTGGGTCGGGTCGAAAAATCTTTTTATTCTTGACGAAAATGATCATGTATATCCTCTAATTTAGTATATCTTTTTTATTTATAAATAATTTAGGACTTTTTTTATATTTAAAATTCTCTCATATTTCCCAAAATAACTGGTCCCTGGTCAAAATTCTCTTAATTTCATTTCATCTCCTTATTCGTCCAGGGTGCAGGTTATTCTTTTTTAGACTTAATTTTTTTATTTATTAGAAACTACGATACATGTAAATAAAAATAAAATAATAACATAATACAAAAATAAAAACCAATTATATAATAAATCCTTCTAATAATTCCTTAATCAGAAATCGAGCTCGCCTATAACAAATGATATTATCTTAGTGTCCTTAAATGACGAGTCTTTGACTGAAATAGAAATTTTCTTTGGGATTGCTTCTGAATATTGCCATGAAAAGGTTATGTTTTTAAAATTTATTGAACCCTCAGTAATTGTTGAAAAATTGTGTTATTCATTTTAGAAGTTTTATTAAATTTTATATTGGATACTTTAAATGAGTTTAGAACTTAGATTTCAGACTAGAACTCTCTTTTCTATTTTTTTTAATAATCAGACCACTTTTTAAAAGCCGGAACTAACCCTTTTTAGTCCAGATTCAAAATTTATGCATGTTGACAGTGATTATTGTTACATACTCCGACAAATATAACCCTAAAGAAACGATGCATCTAATGCTTACCCCACATAATGAGAATAATCGCAATTTAGTTCGTGATTCTATTACTTGGATATACTCCTTTAAAGCAAACCAATATAATAAATATATAATTTTAAAATGATAAAATACATGATGGACTTGAATATACATTCAAAATATTTATTAAGATAAAAGATACTTCAAATAAACTTTAGTAATTTCTTAAACTAAGATTTCATTTTCAATGCAAATAATTAAATAACGATCAGAGATTTATATAAGTGATCTGCATCGGGCTTAATTTTTCATGCCCGGCCCGGCCCTAATTTATTTAAATATAGAAATTAATTTTTATAATTACTCAAAAACGATATGTTATTTGGCGTCTACTTTCTATAATTAAGATCACATTTTTATTTTACTTAAAACATAAAATTGATAAATATAGAATATATTTTAAAAAATTTCTAAGCCCGACCCGGCCCAAATTATCTTAAAAAATATTAGGTCTACTGGGCCCCAAGCCCGTTCGGGCCTGGCCTACTTTTGCAGATCTCTAATATATATCATAAATGTTAAATTACTAGGATTGTTAAATTACGATTTTGCTTGTAGATTATAAGAAGGTTTGGACTTCTATTTATCAATCAAATCCCAGGTTTACATAAAATTTGTTAAAATCTTAATCGGGTGGTTTTTATGGCTTTTTAACAACCCTAGATATCCATCCAATGAAGTAATTATGTTTAATTCTCGGGTGTAGGCTGTTAAATTTGACCCTTTCCCTTGAACGTCGCCTATATCAGTTGAAAATAGTATTTATCAAACTTATGTATAGTTATATACAGCCACAAACTTATAGAGGGCTTCTCATATTAAAAATATTCCCAAAAATCATTCAAATTAGATTAATGAGAATACCTAGCATAGCTCTCTAAGAAATTTGCATCTTATATTAAAATTATAAAAAATATGTCATTTTTGAATCAACCTATTTATATATAAACATATCTAATTCAGGTTTTTGAATTAGGGTATCAAAAATATGTCAGCATGAATCTTTTGCTTAAATATTTTTAAAGGGTGGTTCTGATTTTTATTCCCAAAGTTTTGAAAATAGAGCTCTGTATCAGGTTTCTAAAAATATATGAACTTCTCAAGGGTTTCTTGTTCAGTGTTCAAATTTTTATATCAATCATGAAAAGATTAAACATTAAATAAACTCTAATTTAAATCACATAACTTTGTAAACAATATATGATATACAATAAATGTTTTCCAACAAATTTTATTAAACGCAAATATAAAATTCAATAACATATGACTATATAATTATCGTTAAAAGGTGTTTAAACATTTAGTGTAATTTTGGGTTAACTACCTTTTAGATCTTCCGGGTTATTTATAATGTCATAATTGTTGTTGAATTTTGGTGGACCGATTATATCTTTGTAAGCATTTTGTTTTGTTTGATTGCCGTTTAAACTCATTTCGAGCTACGATTTAACTATAAATGTTTTAATTATATAGATATTTTTTTATAAAAATAAATGGAAGGAATGTTTGATTCAATGAATTAAATCGAATATTATATTAGAGATGTGTCGTACTTGTCAGTTCTTATAAGAGGTCTGCAATGAGCAGGTTTTTAGTTCACAAGCTCGACCCATACAATGTTTTTTAAAAAATGATCTTCATAAATGTACACTAAACTTGGTTCACCTAAAATCTTGCTAAATTATACGAATCAAACTCGTTATTTTAAGATTCTAATATTCTCCTCTATAACACCCTCAACCACTCATCTATTGTGATTTAATATTGACGTGAATGTTATCTATTTCAAACAATGTATATATAAATTAGTATTTAAATAATTTTCTGGATTTGTGCAAAATTCATAGAAAAAAAATGATAATTTAAAAATATCCAATAAAGGTTATACGCATATTCTATTTTAAAGTTATATAAAAAAATAAAATTTTATCTAAAATAATTATTATATATATAAATATGTTTTACAGTTGATATTTCATGTCCCTTTGTGAGTATTAGATTCCTCCAATGAAAGGATAATTATCTTCACCCAGATATGTTGATTCTTCGGGTATAATTTTGTCGTCAAAACATTTTCAAAATATAATATATAACTTTGTTTATTAATAATTATTTTTCTTTATATAAAATCAAATGATACCAATCTGTATTGTAAAAATTATGAATATCATAATGCATATACCTTTATCATTATACAGATTTATATAAAAGAATTTGGCACTTTTTGCTAAAATATGATCAAATATTTTCTATCTTCAAAAAAAACTTCAATCTATTTAACGGTGATTATTTGTTTTTTGTTTATCGATAGATCTGGAAAAGTAATTTATATTAGTATTTATCCTTGTGTAAAACTTGGATTTTTTTATATACATGTCGGAGTTCATTTTGGTTTCAGCAACACTTGCATCAATTCTTTAATTTACTGAAATATTTAATCATTAGTTTCTGAAGAATGGACATCACTTTGGAATTTTGAGGTCCAGTACACGCATTTCAAATATTTAATCAATAGCAACAGTACTAAATTTAAAGGAGTGCCCTTCTGACCATATAATGCTAAATCTCTATTTATCTATACAAGGGATAAATACTAAAATAAATTACTTCGTAAGAGCAATAGATAAAAAAAAATGAAAATAATAAAACAGTTTGGAGTTTTTTTTTGAAGATAGAAAATATTTGATCAGATTCAACAAAAAAGTTTGAAAATAAAGGTATATGTATTTACTATATGTGTGATTTTAATAATATTACATATTGGTATCATTTAATTTTTATCTAGAGAAAAATAACTATTAATAATCAAAATTATACATTATATTTTAAAAATATTTTGGCGACAAAATTATACCAGAAGAATCAACATATCTGGACAAAGATAATTATCCGTTCATCACTGGAGGAAGTAGATATTCACAAAGAGACATGGAATATTACTTGTAAAACATATTTATATATACAATAATTATTTTAAATAAAATTTTACTGTTTTTTTACATTTTGTACAGGAGGGATTAGGCTACGTATATATATATCTATAATTTGCTCTATTTTGTCTATGTTTATAAATTTTGCAGCAAAAATGCAAAATACCATCTGTAAATCAAGTAAAGTTTACAAAATAAATATATTCTAATTAAGTAATTTTATGATTCCAAGCCTATTTCTAAATTTGATCTTATTATAATTTAATTCATAAAATTATAAAGAAGATATCATTAAAAGGCTCCAACTCAATATTTCAAAAGGTAAAAGGGAATCAAAATATCTTAAATTATTTTTTTTTAAAATACCTTTATCTTGCGATAAATTATTAAGTAAAGAGTTAAACTCTTAAGATATTTCATTTAAAATAAATTAAATTAAAATAATACTTGAGGGATTGAATTTTCCGTCAAATTTGAACATTTTTGTTTTTCTTTTAAAATATATATATTATAATTTATATATAGCAACTATTTATAATCGTTGAATTAATAAAATAGATTTTTAGAGTAAATTAAAGGTAAAATGGATTTAAATAATAAAAAGTAATTTATTAAATAATGTAAAAATTTCCAATAATATACCGTTTTATTATAATTCTAGAATTTTCGAATTTGACAACCAACTTATATATATATATCTAATAACTTATATATTATTATTTAAAATATTAGAATAGTAATTTGAAAGAACTATAGTTAATAATAAACCTACC